GTTCTTTAGGGCCTTTTTGCTTTGACAACACTCATATATATATATATAAAAACATGTAAAAATTTGAAAAAAACAAGTTTTCAATGATCCTATCATGTAAAAGCAARTATGTGCACAAGGAACCTGACAAAGATGCCGCATTTTGCTCATCAAGACCTCGACGACTACCTCGTAAACGGTGAGACCTCTGTCGACAATAAACCCAAAGAAGCGACCCGTAACAAAAAAACTAGGCTACAAAATCTTTAAAGCTGGTTATGTTGAAAACGTGATGGCGGAAAATACTTTATTTTTAGTTAAATGCTCAGTCAATGCTTCGATGAAAAAAGATGGCTATAATGTGTACGTTCACCTGAACCTATTTTCAGGAAAAGTTGTCCACTCTAATTGTAAGTGTCCAGGAGGGGAAGAAGGAGTTTGCAAACATGCAGCTGCTCTTCTATTCTAATTACTTGATTATAAACAACTTGAATTGTCCGAGGTTCCTGTGAAAGTTACTTGTACTGAAAAGCTACAGTAATGGAATGTCCCTTCCCTGTGTCCTGAGAAACGAGGTGCTGTGCTATTTGAGGATTTACTTTTTGAAAAGGCAGATTGTGGGAGAGATGATTGTGGAGGTCGTAAGCGCCCTATTATCAGTGGCAAAAGAACAAACTTTGAAGCTGCACCAGCATTTGCTMAYAAAATGACCTGAAAAGGCTCAGAAGCAGTCTTGATGACAGTTCACCATTGGCCAGTTTACTAGATGATAATAATTGCCAGCCATTTGATTATGAACTACCATCTACCATCCAGGAAGAAATTACTTCAAAMATCAAAAGTTATAAATAATTTAAATACACAAAATGTTAGAAAATAYCATCTTGATGACAGGCGATCCTTTGATAGCTCTGACCCAAGATCAACAGGAACAACTCGAAGCCAACAACATACTCAATAAAGTCGATATAACTGAATCCCTAGAAATTGAACAAAATACCAGAGGACAAGCTGACTGTCCACACTGGCATGAATATAGACAAGCCAGGCTCACTGCTTCAAATTTTGGTTCTGTTTTAAACAGAAGGGAAAGCATCCACCCTAAATCAATACTGGTAAAAATAAAAAGTAGTTCTGCTAACAGACGAATTYCACTTAGCTGTAAATGGGGAAAAGACAATGAACAAAGTGCACTCATTAAATATTATGAATCCTTTG